GGAAAGTCCTGGACATGACGCAGTCTGCAAGAGAACAGTGACTTGGAAGAAGATTTGTTTTCACAGCAAGACAACGACAGGAAGCACACGGCCGAGGCTGAACGGAAAGCGTTTAAATACAACAAGGTGAATGTTCTGCAGCGGTCAAGTCCAGTCCGAGCCTAGATTCCAAGTGAGAGTTTGGGGCTGGACTTAAAAGAGCTGTTGTCTCTTGATCCCTGTGCAGCCGGGCAGAGCTCGAGCAGCTTTGCAAAGAAGAATCGGGTAAATCTGCAGCGTCCAGACTGATTGAGGGCGATCCACACAGGCTGTGATTTTTTTGTAAATTTGTGTGTGGGGGGGAAAAAAAGGGACCAATTATATGTTTCAGTAGAGAAAAGCAGCTAAAAGGGAACACTTCCAACTGGGATGAATGGACACTGAGTATCTGCAACCTCATGCAAAACAGCTGAAATCCAGTTGGTGTGAAGGGAGGCTGGCGGCCTGATAACGGCGTGTAAAGTGCAGAACACTGAGCATTATTGCACACAGGGTCTGTTAAAAGTCCAGACTGATTTACATCTTAGCACAGTCTATGGAAAGCACAGAAGAGGAAAACAGGTCATGCTGCTGTAAACTGAAGTCGAGTGTTTGCTGTTTACAGACAACCTGGATCAGAATCACTACAGCAGGCTGTATGTTCCACCTTTCTTTCCTCTGTTGCTTGAATTCAAACCCGTAGAATGAAACGGTCTCTAGACTTTTTGAAACTCCTGCATAATGCATTCATAAATGAAGATACACAGGTCTGTTCACACTGTTTCACACGCAATTTTAAATATGAAAGAAACACCACCTGAAGAAACCAACGTGTCCGATTCTACATGACACAAGCGGACAACACCTTAGTGGAGAAAACATGGATTCAGCCAAAGAACCAGTTCAGTCAGTTTTGTCTGTATAATCAATCTACTCAGAATCCTCAGTTTCTGGTTTGTATACGGCTGAACTGCATGAGTCAGTGCCATTATGTGGTGCAGATTAGTTTGACTGTATTTCAGTCGAAGGTGAGTCGGTTCGTTAACCCTTCATTATCAGTCTGCTATAGGGGGAAAAAGTGCTCCTGCTTGATTTTCTTTCTTTATCCAATCACATGACTGATGAGACTGAGTTACTGATAAAACACTGGTGAGACTGGGAGCTGCTGACTGACCAGTAAGCTGATAGCAGAGGAGAACACGGAGGCAGTGAGCGAGCCAAACCAAGTTTACGTTAAAGGAAGCAGCTCGTGTGTGTGTTCGCACCAACAATGTGTGATTATTCTGAGGGTATTGTGCAATAAATGAAAAGCCTTTATTTGCTCAGATATTTTTTCTTTCCTGTGTATGGGAGTGCTTATAATTACAAGATTAAGATGGATTTAATGAAGGGCGGGTAAAGATCTGCTCTGTGAAAGGTTTCTGACACGACGGGGATGTGATGATTGGCTGAGCTGAGTGAGCTGGAGTGAATCATGAGAGTCCAAATGATTCCTGCACCGGAGCTGAAAGCAAGAAGCTGAGGACAGCAAAGACGGTGAAACAGGTAAATGTCAGCCGACGTGCTCAGAAGTTGTAGTGAGCAAGCAGTCGAGGTTAATAAGTGAATAATTTAGAGTATTTGAAACGAACTGAACAAACAGCAGGAGTGTCAACGCTATGAGCACATCTGCTTTAAATGCTTCCTCACTGGGATTTAAAGTGTCACCACAAGCTGCACTCACAGCACAGCCTAAACTCAGGATTGAGTTAAATCGATCAAATCAAATATACATTAAAAATAAATAAATCCAAACTAGTACACTTGCTGGATTCTTCAATATCTTAACATTTGACAAATAACACGGAATAAAACTTTAGTGAAAATCGTTTGAAAAAGATCCTTCATCTATAAGTCACCACACCCTGTCTACATGCAGACATTCATGCAAAAAGATCAACTTCTGTGGAGGCTCCACCTTATCTGCAGCCACTCAGCATGAACCTGATCTAATCACCTAAATGGATCAACAGTAAGGCCAGACCGTGAGTCCAGTGGTAGCTGCTGCAGATGTTGTATTTGTTTCAGCGTAAAGATGCATCTGTTATTTCACATGGACACAAATCTGAGTGTTTTACCAACTAAAAAAAATACAAATCAATCAATAAAATCATCTATTAATGGCAGCATGTTTGGATGCAGGCGTATAAACACATGTGGGGTGTTCTTTTATAGACATAAAGGACCACTAATAAAAATCTACACATAAATAGTTTGAATAAAAGGAAAGTTTTGCCAAGTTGCATCTGCTCACTTAACACACACGTCTTTAGTTTTTCAGCTGTTTTTTTTTTTCTCCAGGTCAGCAACATTTCTTTCCAGAAACAAAGCCATTGTTACTCACAGTCTACATCCACAGAGCACTGCGTCTACAGGAACTACTTCCTCCTGAAAAAAAGTCCCTGTGGGCAGTCAGAACAATGTGGACCCACCCACGCCCGACCCCTGACGACTCCCGAGGCCAGGGCCGCCCCTCCTCACATATCCCAGCGTAACCCCTGCTAGCGTGTTCTGACTGGGACGTGTAACATGTGGTACCGTGACTGGGTTCTGCAGTTTCTTGTTTACATCGTAGAGGAATGAAACCGCAGCGCATTCCAGGACAAGATAATTCGTTGGTATTGTTTGTGCCCCACAAAGCTAAAACTACTTTATCCCTGATATTCTTCTACTAGTTTCCTTCTTGTCCTTTTTTAAAAAATTTGAATAATGTTTTCAGGCTGGCAACCGGTGCTACAACCGCTCAAAAGTATTTCTAAGAATAAAGCAATGTGAGGGAAAATTCCATGAATTACATCACTGCTGAGATGTTATCAAAACCCAGAAAAACCTGGTGTCCTATTACAAACCGCTTCGCACGCCATCCGTGTTTACAACGGCTGTAGGTATACGTGTGTGCGTGAGGAGAAAGAAGAAAAAAAAAAAAGGAATAGTGGCTGCTAGGCACGCATATGGCAGCGTTTCGGGGGTGGAGAGAAGGAAGAGCCAAAGCAAACAGGGAAGGACTTTGCTCAAATTGGGAGGCAGCACATGCATGCAAACCACACAAAAGAATGCAAACAGAATGAATTAAAAATGTGTTTTAATGCAGACGTTACTGTAATAAATGTGCTAAACGGACACAGCTACAGGAAAGACAGACAATCTGCTGGGAATCTCCACTCTCTGTCTGGGTTACATAAGAGCCCGACTCTGAATGCAGCCTGAACTTCCTGTAGAACTTAAACACACACACGCGCGCGCACACATAAAGCCGCCCCCCGACAACAGGCACCACTTGCTCTCACAACAAGTCAGCTTGCAGCACAGAGAGGAGGCAATGAGCAGCGGGGTGTGGTTTCCTACACTGGGGCTGGTGGCCTGGCTATGCTGCCTCAGTCTGGGGTCCGTTCAGGGGGGGAAGGTGCTGGTTATGCCTGTGGATGGAAGCCACTGGCTTAGCATGAAGCTGCTGGTGAAGGAACTGACCCGCAGGAACCATGAGGTCGTGGTGCTGGTGCCTGAAAGCAGCCTGCTGATCCAGGGCTCAGAGGGCTACAAGACTGAGATCTACAAAGTGCCATACACCAAAGCTCAGCTGGATGAAAACTTCAATGAACTCAGGGATGGAGTGTTTCTCAAGCCGCCAGAATTTGCAGACGTGTTCGTCAACGTGCAGCGATTGGTCAACTTCACGTCCCTGCAGGTGACAGGTTGTGAGAGTTTGCTGACCGATGAGCCTTTGATGAGTCAACTGAGGGCACAGAAGTTTGATGTTGTCCTCACGGACCCTTTCCTTCCCTGTGGCTCCATGCTGTCTCACATGTTTTCCATTCCGGTTGTTTATTTCCTACGTGGGCTTCCCTGTGAGCTGGACATTAAGGCGAACCAGTGCCCCTCTCCTCCTTCCTATGTCCCCAAGTTCTTCAGTGGTTTTACCGACTCCATGACCTTCCCACAGAGAGTCGGCAACTTGGCCATGACTGTTATGGAGAACTACGTTTGCAAAATGATCTACGGCCACTTTGACGTTCTGGTCGACAAGTACTTTGGAGGCGGCTTGACCTACAAAGGTCTTCTGAGTCATGGTGCTATCTGGCTCCTCAGATATGACTTTATTTTGGAGTGGCCCAGACCCCTCATGCCAAACATGGCTTTGATTGGAGGGATCAACTGTGCAAAGAAAGCTCCTCTGCCCGCGGTGAGTATGTGGATAAATACACTATATGCCAGAGTAAACAAGCATGCACTACATCTGGATTCACTTAAGCCAAGCAATAGACTTGCTTTGTATTCAGTTCGGCTTGTTCTCACGAGACAAAAAAAAGAAAAAATGAGAGAGAGATTGTGGGAGTAATTTCAATATTGAACTAGTCAGAAACTTTTCTACCTATTTCAGCAGTTTTGTAGACCTGCACTAATGCATGCAGAAAAGGAAGCAGAACAGATGCATCAGTATCAGAACATTATAGGTTGTGCATTTTTGGAGCTCGCAAAATAGTTCTACGTTGCACAACACATACTAAAGATCTTCAGCAACCAGTTTGTGTCACACTTCAGGCAAATGTGTTCCAGAGGAAACAAGCTAAACATTATTGTGATATGCAAATGAGTTTGATTGTTTATTGAGATGTTCTAAGAATGGGCTCAGGACGTTGTGAAAGAACTGGTTTGTCGGCTCAGGGTGGGAAATGTGAGCCAGGATAAGCAGATTTCTGGACTATGGCCTCTGTAATCTAAGAAAAGAGGGAAGGGACCCTGTTGTGTCAACAGGTATCAAGTACAGAAGCAAAAAGGACTGTTGATATAAGCAAGAATAAGATTGTGGTGCAAGATTACTGAAAACGATGCATGAGAGCAGCTACAGCAAACACAACTGACGTGATTTATTTTTATCATACATCCTACAAGCTGGCAGTATTCAGACTTTCCTTGGGGTCATTGTTTTCTGTTCTCTAACCTCCCTGCAGGACTTGGAGAAGTTTGTCAACGGCTCAGGAGACGCCGGCTTTATTGTCTTCACGCTGGGATCAATGGTGGCCACGATGCCCGAGGAGAAGGCCAAACAGTTCTTTGATGCTTTCCGGCAAATTCCTCAGAGGGTAACGATCACCTGAGTAAATCACTTCACTCCCTCAGTCCACTCAGTTCCATTTGAATATACTGGTATTTACACTCTTCAAATAAAGCGCTGATTATTGCAGAAGCAGCTTCAGCAAACAGTTCTGTGCTATAGGGGCCAGCAGATTAAACCACAGACTTTGTCCTGGTTGTCTTACGGTAAACACACCCGTTCACACTAAACATTAACAACGGTGGTGTGTTTTTGATGTTCCAGGTTGTGTGGAGATACACTGGAGCGCTGCCTAAAGATGTACCCGACAACGTCAAAGTTATGAAGTGGCTACCTCAGAACGATCTCCTAGGTGAGCCAAGTCAAGACAAACTGTACGATGTGCAGCTGTGATGTCACACCGTACAAATGACGTACCAGTGGTTTGTGGTGGATGAGTCCAGTGACTGTGACCGTTTCTGTGCTCCTCAGCCCATCCCAAAGCTAAAGTCTTCATCACTCACGGAGGAACCCACGGTATCTATGAAGGCATCTGTAACGCTGTGCCCATGCTGATGTTCCCGCTCTTCGGGGACCAGCGGGACAACGTACATCGCATGGTGGTGCGCGGCGTTGCAGAGCAGCTCACTATATATGATGTGACGAGTGAAAAGCTGGTGACCACACTGAAGAAGATGACCCAAGACCAAAGGTGAAACAACCGGGTTTTCAGCTAACACACACAGTAAAGGATGCAAACTAAGAAAACTCGAAAAGTTGATCAAACGATGTTATTAGTTAAAGCTCGAGTGTATGCTGGAACCTGTCGGTATTTGTTTGTTAAGTCACAGTCCACTCACATCAACCTTCGTTCACGTTACCCGATGCGACCTCTTGTCCGGCCTGTGTGGACGTGCACACGCTGCGCTCGGTTCTTTTGTTCATGTTGCATTTCAAAGGTGCCCTGTGGAGGTTTTCCTGCACATACAAAACTCTAGTATTTACCAGACACACTAAATTATACTCTACTTATGTTCCCATTAACCTCTTAAGACCTGGCATCCACATGCATAGAGGTCACGTTTTGGGTGATAGTACCACAGTAGTTTGTTTATTTTATTTTTTAATGACTTAATTATTATTATTTTATTATTGTTGTTTTTTTATTTTCAATTTTTTTACATGTTTTTTAAAATATATATATATTTATATATTTTAAAATTCTATTTGCTATTTAATCAGATCATTTTTTATTTATCATTATTTTATTTTATATATATATTTTACATATTTTTAAAATATATTTATTTATTTATTTTTATATCTATTTTTTAAATTCTATTTGCTATTTGATCGATCCAAATTTTTTATTATTTAATTACTACTATTTTGTTATTGCTATTTATTATTTTCTTTTCTTTTTTTTAATTTCTTTTTTTAACATATTTTTTTAAAACAGATTTTTATTTTCTTTATATATTTTATTCTATTTGCTATTTGATCAGACATGGCACATATCAAACAAGAGCTCAGATCTTAAGATTTTATTGACATTTTTTCCACTACTGTGTTGTATTAATGCATGTATTCTGCATAAACTACCTGCAAAGTCATTTACCAACATTTACCACCTCTTCAGACAGACACAGAGCTTTTAGGTTTTATATATTTATAGCATCAACAGCAGTAAATACTTTAACTATGGCAAGGTTTGTGATGTAAAGAAGCTCTTGCGATGAGCGGCCAGCGTTCATACAATCTATTAAACTAAATCTAACTTCTCTGCAGTTACAAGAAGAGGATGGTGGAGCTGTCGGAGAGACACCTCGACCGGCCTGTTGAGCCTTTGGAACTGTCTGTTTTCTGGACCGAATTCGTCATGAGACACAAAGGAGCGGCACACCTGAGAGTCGGCGCGCATGACTTGAACTGGTTTCAGTACCACAGCCTGGATGTCATCTGCTTTTTAGTCCTCATTGTAGTAACTGTTCAGTGGCTGTCGCTGAAATGCTGCTTGTTTTGCACGCGCAAGTGCTGCAGAATCGGAACGACGAAAAGAAAATCCGAGTAGCGTTTCTATGCTTTTGTTTTTGGTGTTTTTTTTAAATCCTGTAATGAAGCTAACTGTCGATACACGAATGTAAAATGTCAGTCAGATGTGCTGGATGTGTGTTTAATGTGTGTGTGTGTGTGCGTATGTAGAGGCTCCACCTAAATACCATTATTACTGCACTGACTCTGACACACGTATGAAATGGTGCTGGCAGTGATTGATCGGAGCCTTCCAGCCCTCTTTTACAAAACGAAAAGCAAATAAACGTTGCTTTTTTTAAACCTCTTGCTCCTTATTTTAACAGGTTAACAAAAACTCTAGAGTATACTGTACAGATAGCTACTTTCCTAGCTCATGGGCTCCTGTGTTTTCCATCCTCTGGTTCTTGGAGTTTTACTGGCTGCAGGAGTTAATTTTTGAGTGTTCATTATTGGGACGTTTTTGTATAACAGAGCACTTTGAGCAACGTAACACCCCTTTAGCAGCCATGTTGGAGGGCTGCAGTTCTCACAAAGAAGGGATTACGTTTATCTGCTTTGCTCTGTAAACTTGCATCATATCATTTGATTACAAACAGTTTAAGCAAACAGATGGAAAGAGTCCCGATCATTTTGCTGGATGTTCATATCTCATGCAAACAACAGCTAACAATAGCGTTTAAATAAGGCTCAGGAGGTAATTTATAAAACTCAAGCACTCGCTGACGACAACGTTGGCTCCAGTTGCATCAGTTACAGGAAATTTTATCAATTTATGTAAGAAAAACTGAAATCTCAGCTCGTTGAAGCAAACAGTTGACTAGTGGCCTCGTCTTTAAACCAACATCTTGTGCAGTTACAGCAAACGCGTGGCGTGGACGCTGATGCACGCCGTCAGCCGGTTGTAGTTCTCAACAAAGGCTCTGTCATCACACGGAGCGTCTGAGTGCTGCTCGCTGTTATGTACAAAGCAACGCAGCCAGTTTGGGCTTTACTCGAGACCCTGTGGCTGCGGTGAGTTTGCTGTCAGCTGACAATGTGTTGATGCATCATCTAACAGCCAATTATTTCGCCCTGGAAGAATGCTGAAGAGTCCTCACTTGTGCTTTTTTTCCTACTCTGACTCCACCTCCTGGGTTATCACAGAGCAGCCAAAAGATGTTTTTAAAGGTCAAAGCAGAAGCTACAGCTCAGTCGGAGCTTCATTAGGAGTGCACGATCACACTTCTTTGCAAAAATGCTCTGCGGTTAATGAGTGAGGAAGAAATGACGTCATGTCAGGTCCTAATTGGTTTGTGTTCACGTCGGTAAACGAATCCTGCCGCTACCGGACCAAAACATTTCAGACAAGAGTGATGAGATTTTGACTATTTTTCCTGGAAAACAGAATAATTATCCACTATTTGTCATTTTGCATGACCTATTTTTGGCCCTTACTAAGACAGACACATCTATAAGAAGTTCCTGTATAGTCAGAGTTATATTTATGCTTTTATTTGCATTATAGCGTCTGGTGATTTAAATGTTGACATATGCATGAAAACTACCTTCAACTTCCTCATTCCTTCATTTAACTGTGAATACATTGACGTGTGAAGACCTCATTTATAGCAGAGCTGAGTAAGAAAATAAGATTTAACCACAAATAAGGTTAAAAATACTGAAAAGGCAAAACCAGAAAAATAACAAAACCATAAAGAATGACCAGCATTCTTAATTTAAAGCAACTAAACAGACGTCTGAAGGTAAAATACGACAAAGTTTAAAACAAAAACAATTCAAAGAATTGCCCTCAGGATAACAATGAGTCAGGCTTTAGATTGCTCTGCAGGTTCCAGGTGCACCGTCAGTACAACTAGACTTTCCAAGCTTAACAAAAAAAAGTACCGGCACCTGGCACGTAATCTAATCGTTTGAGCATGTTGGGCGACGGCTGCATCAAAAGACAGCAATGTAGTAATGTAAGTAGTGCTTATCACGCGTTACAGGGAGGGAGGGAGGATAAAGCTCATAATGAGTATTATTATCACCTGTAATAAATCACAGAGCAGAGCAGGACGCAGGGTTCACGGGTTCAGAGTCACAGCTGATGCATCCATAAAGTGTCTCCATAACCCAGGACTGACAGAAACCTGACCTCAATAAGAGTTTGTCTATAACGGAGCAGAAAACATAAAAAACATTTGCTCACGTTTGGTCACATGGTTTTTGAATTTTCCACATTCCAAGATGCTTTTACTCCCAGTCTCTTCCTCCTTTAATTACACAACTACAATTTTACTTACAGACAAATTGCATCATGTTGGAGGCCAGCACCAACACGCTGAGGCAAACTGCAGCCAAGCCGAAGCGCCGCAGCACTCTCACTCTGACTAGTCAGCTGGGATCACTCTCACTAGCAGTCTGCGGTGTGTCCACGCTACAGCAGCAGCAGCCTCTGCAGCGTCGGTTAGCCACGCTGCCCACCTTAATGAGGTTGGGGTTGTTTGTAAAAACCTCTTTAGTCTCGTAGTTTCGTCTTCCTGTTTACCAGGAAGCTGCTCACAGGTGAAACAACATTTTTCCACCACACAAAGTGTAAAAGTGTAGCTGGAGCTAAACTGAATGTCTCACGTCTCCATTGGATTCATTTCTATTAAATATCCTGTAATGCGTTCAAACTCATTTACTCAAAATAAGAGCAGATTGATTTGTGGCAGATTAGTTTTTTTGTGCGGAGACGAGAAGCTGCAGATACGACGAGTGACTTCTAAAAGTGTTCTCCTGCTTCACAAAACGTTCTCATGGCAACGGAGACACAAACCTCATAACAAATCCTGTTTCATGACTAGAAATATGAAGAAAATGTGCAGACTTCCACTGACTCCGTCCTCTGAGACCATCTGCACTCCTACACATGTGTAGTTTGCTCCATTGCAACACCAGTAATGTTCAGGAAACCACCTTGTCTGTGAGCTAGTTTAAGGTTCTGTGGACTACACGTTGTTCTGTCTGACAGCCGATGGAGGTAAAACAGCTCGGTGAGGTTTTGTTTTTCTAATCCTGCTCCTGTATCTGTGTGTGGCTGCAGAGATCTGAACACAGTTCACTGCAGGTTTTAATCGTACCTGATAGCACAGCTATCATTATGAATGCTGACAAGTCAATATTTCACAAGATAACCTAATGACTGGGCAAATGAGGACATGCTACACACAATAGACTGCCCTGGAGCACCACCTAGTGGATGGTAGAAACAACAGAATACACTTTATATGGCTTCAGATAAAATTAATAACTTTATTGATATACTTTTTAAATAAAACATTATTAGCTCTCTTATGAATTTGCCCCTTTGCTGTTCCATGTGTTTAATTACCCTTAGTATACACAACAACTACTAATATGACAGATTTATGAGACAATAAGCATTAATAAGACATCACTCACTGATTCCAGGCTGAAGCGTGAGTATTTTAAGTCACACAGTTCTCCACTGTCTCTAATCTGTCCCCAGCACATCACACCAAGGGGCACAAATCCACAAACAAGACCTGCAAACATCTCCCCCGACAAGCCTTCACCTCATCATCGTTATGCAAAAGGTTTTAACTGTCCATTTACAACCTTCTAAAATAATTAGTCTTGAATAGGAAAAAACACAGAGGATAGAAATGGCCGCTGTATTTGTGTGTTAAGGTCCTCAGTGGGAGCTGTGAGTACTTCTGTTAGCGCTGTGGTTTCTGTGACCTTAATACACAGTTTCTGTTTGAACATTTACTTTTATTTTTGGTCTTATTGTACAGAACAGCCAAAGGAGAGACAGGAAAGTGGGGGAGGAGAATGGGGGAATGGGTCGCAGCAAAGGGCCATGAGTGGGATTCGAACCCATGGCCACTGCATCGGAGACTATAGCCCAGGGGTGTCCAATCCTGGTCCTGGAGGGCCACATTCCTGCATGGTTTAGATGTTTCCTCTTCCAACACACCTGATTCAAATGATCAGCTCATCATCCAGCTCTGCAGAAGCCTGATAACCATCCTGATCATTTGAATCAGGTGTGTTGGAAGAGGGAAGCATCTAAAACATGCAGGAATGTGGCCCTCCAGGACCAGGATAGGACACCCCTGGGCTATAGTCCCTGTACATGGGTCTCCAGCTCAACCAGGTGAGCTAAAGCAGCGGCCCGAACATTTACTTTTGATCTTGTATCTTCCATAAGAGTTAATGTAGTCAACACAGACAACTAAGAAACTGTCAAACATGCAGCAGACGTTGGGACTATCTGAATATCAGAGAGGCCAACCAAACCTCTGATCACTAATCTGATCCAAACCCATCATGATGTTCACTGTGACATTAAACCACCATTCCACCAAGTGCCATAACAATTAAATTATTGCTGTACACAACACGCACACCGACACAAATGAGCGGCTTTAACTTTCTTTAACGCCATCACCTCTCAATACGGCTGCACACATGCTGCAGTGAGCGATTGTGGTCTCGGCTCCTCAGCAAACATGTCTTTGACACCTGCCCACAGAGTTTCCGTTGTGGGAGTTGGAAGACTGAAGACAAAAAGGTAGCAGGGGGGCACTGAGAGCCAAACTGTTGAGCTTTTTGCTTGAGCAAGACCATGATCCACATGCACCGCATCATATGCGTCTTCCTGCTGGTCTCCTTCACCGGTAAGATCTGATGATACTCCTTTAAAAACTATTGCTGGCAGACAAGTGTGTCCAAGTCTTTGTTCTTTTTTAATTTACTAACTTTCATCTTCTCGTTTCCTGTCAGGGGCTACTGGGAGCGGTATCGTAGGTGGTCGGGTTGCAAAGGCTCACTCCAGACCCTACATGGCATCGCTCCAGGTTCGAGGGTCCCATGTATGCGGTGGGATGCTGATTCGGGAGGACTTTGTTCTAACTGCAGCACACTGCAAACAGTGAGGTTTCTTTTCTCCTTCAGTTTTAAAGAGACAAGATCAATTCTAATACACAAGATGATGGGTGCTACTTATTCACTGCTGCATGGCCTTTTTTCCCCAGAACTATTTATTATTCACGATAGATTTGTGTAAAATGTTTTATAATAGCAATAAATGATGTGAAAAAAATGAATGTTGCATCATTAATACAGAAACAGAATGAGCCATCAGGGGACCTCAGTGATTATTTTAAATAGTTGTAATTATACATACCAAAGTGTTGAGCATAAATAGAGATTTTAACGTCATTTCTTCATTTATTTGTCAGACCTGAAGCCATGACAGTGGTACTCGGAGCACATGACGTTACCAAGGAAGAGAAAAGTCAGCAAAAGATCCAAGTGGCCAAATACCATCCACATCGGGGCTTCACAGGAGAACATGACTATGACATTATGCTACTTGAGGTGAGCCAAAACTGTGGAGAAGTTCACATCTAAACTTACCAAAAACTTCAAGTCAGTTATTTTGTGTGATGGAGTTTTGACTTAAGTTTCATTTCACATGCGTGTGTTTGAGATTTCACACATTTGCACTGTGGAGACGTGGGCGTGACCTATCTAACTTATCCTCTGTTCTCTCTGACAGTTAAAACAGAATGCCACACTGAATAAGTATGTGAAGCTCATTGGACTACCGAAGAAAGACGGGAAAACTCCAGCCAACATCAACTGTGCTGTGGCCGGTTGGGGCTGGACTGAACGCAATAAGAACCCCTCAAACGTTCTGAAAGAGACCACGGAGAAGATCCAGTTCAGCTCTGAATGCAAAAATATCTGGCAGGAATATTTTAATCCCAATAATATGATTTGCACCAAGTTTTCCAAAAAGACGGGAGGCGTTTGCAAGGTAATCGAACCATATCTAAAGCAGACTACCAAGTCTTCCACCTGCCCGTTCATAAAACAGAACACAACAATCATTCTGCTGATAGAAAATTTGGCAAACTGATCTTTTTTATTGATGAAAAACAGCTGTTATCTTTTCACAACCTACTTAGTTAAGTCCTTCTGTTGCCCTTTTTTTCTAGGGAGATTCTGGCGGACCGCTCATCTGCAACTCCAAGCCTCAAGGTATAACAGCTTACACCTGGGCAAAAGACTGCACTAATCCAAAGTATCCACATGTCTTCACTAAAGTTGGTGCCTTTGTCCCCTGGATTAAAGAAGTGATGAAGGGATCGAGGAACGTTGCATGAGCAATCATTCAGAGGTTCCTTCTATAAGTATTGATGCTTGGTAAAACATAACATGAAAAAATATTTGGTCTAAGTTTTGAAACTTAAAAATGTTTTCATGTGAAACAAACCCAAGCAATTATATTAAAATGTTTGGAATTTAAAAAAACTGCTCGAGCGTGCCTCCTTATTTCTGAACTGGCCCTTTTGCAAATTTCCTGCAAGTGTTATCAACTATTTACATATTTTTTGTTTATGAGCTGATGCTGAAGCCAGTGGGAGCAGTGGGTGGGTGTCATCACAGAGTGTGGTAGCTGACGAGCAGGGTGAAAGCCCACAGGTGGGATTACCAGGCCACAGACCGCTGACGTCATATTTATGGCTCGTCAGTCGTAGTGCAAACTCTTGAAGTTGAACCGTTTTCTGTCTGTGAAACCAGTCATCTGCAGAGAAAAGTGAAAAAGTGCATCTTAGGTTTACACTTGCCTCTTAGTCGGTCACAACAACATTCTCCTTTACCTGTGAAGGTTTACATTTAGCACAACAACTGTGACACTGAGATGTCTTAATCTTATTTTTTTTAATAGCAGAAACAGAGGAAAACTCACCTGACTTGGATCTCGTGTGAAATATCTCTTCTCTATTACCTGCAAAGAGGTTCAAGACATATCAGTACAGAGATCAGATAGATAGATAGATAGATGCTAATCTTATTGACAGGCTGCAACAAACAGGAAATAAGACTTATAACACTGCACGACACAACTCTGGTTTCTCACCTTGTCAAAGAAGCGGCTCAGTTTTACTGCATTCGATGTGCCTGCAGCAAGGTATCTGGGGTTGGTGCAGTCCTGAGAAAATACAAACTCACCTCAGCCACAAACCACAAAGCTTTTTTCACAAAGACCACTTACATCGTTCAACTATGAAATCTTTCCATTTGTATATAAATAAGATAATCTTGGTGAAACGTGCTGTTTGCCAGAGTATCTTCTGTAATTCCCCACATTTGCCGGCAGGTTTGAAAACCATGTATCATTAAGTAATATTAGATTTGTTATTTTCTTATAATTAAAAAATGTAAGTACTAAAAGAATCTGTAGTATGTGGAGTCACATGTTTTTTTCTGGTATCGGTGACGCATGTAGATGAGCGGGAAAAAAAATACTGTACATGTTGAATCCAATTAATTTTTATATATTTTTTAAGTTTTGTAAAATAAAAATGAAAAAAAAAATCAACTTTACTTCTCTCTATCTTTATGATTTCTGGTCTTATAACCATGCCACACTGCACAGAATATATTTTTTTTAGTTCTCTCTACTTCTAGACAAGGTTGTGTTGCTCATCATCAGCAAAAATGTGATTAAAGCAACCGCTGGGAGGGTTATGGGTTTAATACGACCACTAGGTGTCACCAAAGTCACACATGTTTACATCACAGGTCAGGGTGTTATAATGTTAATAAACTATGTCTTTAATTCTCTTTGTCTCAGAGACAAGTTGTTAAAGGCAGGTTTGTACTGCAAACATGACAGTTCTAAAATAAGTTCTTCATACAGCAAAGGGAATAAAGAACCTTCTATGCTTTTAAAATATGATTATACCCACATCAACATCAGACGCTTCCTTACATGCACACATAGCAGCTACACCGTCATTTCGTTATCTTATTCGGCTACTCAGTACAAAAACATTAGAAAGTTAATATAGTGTTTAGTATGGTGTCATTTTTAGCTTCAAGATTGAAGACTGCCAATTCAAGTCATTCATTTATCATGAAAATGGGAGAGCTACATGTCGGCTTCGACTAGCTAGAATACAGGATAAACTTCCCTCCAGCGCTTGTGACTGTCATGAACTCATTAATTAAGATGAACAGTTTTAAAATGCATCCCTCAGGACAGCTATCCAGCACTTCCTGAGACAGGAAATGCATCTGAGGGCTCTGTATTTAGATCTCAGTTAACACAGGAGCGGGTTTATCGTCACTGGTCCAGTTTATCACGTCCTTTTCATGTAACTTGTGTTTAAGTGCCAAAAAAAACTTTAACAGGTAAATGAAGCAAGCAGTGTTGCAGATGTACATGTTTAAAAGGAGCTTAAGGTGAGGAAAAGTTGACCTACAAGATTGATCTCTTCTGCGTTGAAGTCTTCGGACAGGAAGGCCGTCCGGGTGAGAACCTCATTGCGTTTGTTCTCTGGGATCTGGTCAAACTTGGTTCCGATTAGTAGCAAAGGCACTGGGTTCTCAGCAAACTGCTCTCTGTCATAATCACTGCAAAAAAAAGAGCTTTCAGGTGAGCAACCTCGTCAGTCACTCGTTAATACAGCTAATTTTGACAACTGTTTCAGTGTGAGTAAATTCTGCACCAATGAAAACAAAGGAAGCCAAAGAGACGTATCTGCTCACCCGTTGGAGACAATAACTCCTGTTGGAGAAGAGTCCTTGTTCAAAGCTTCTAGTGACCAGCGGTAGAGATTCTGAGAGGACTTCTTATTTGTCAAATCGTGTACCAAAATAATTCCTGGAAGAATCCACAAAATGGCAGAACATATCTGAATAATTACCTAAAACTTGTGATTTCAGATTCGTTTCAATAACCACATAACATCTACCTTACCATTAACTGAGTTGTAGAAGACTGCTCTTGTGCTTTTGACGCTGCTGGCACTGCCGACAGATCCTCCAACATCCCAGAGCTCAATGTAGAAGGTTTTTTCCTCCGGAGTTCCCTCCCTATAGTCTTGAACCTATGGTTGAATAATTATTTTGACACTTCAGTTATTGTAATCCTCCTTATGTTCTATGTATGAAGCAATGTCTTAGTTTTATATCAGAAGAATTTGTTGACTTATATGTTAGAGTGACATTAAGCATAAATTGTCCAGTCTGTATGGGAATAAGTTTAATTGTGGGTTCACGGATGGTTCCACCACCGTGTTGTTTAAATGATTGCCATTTACAGTATAAAGTCTCATTTCACAGGCCAACTGCAAAACCTTTGATCGTTTCTCACCCGCACATCCACAGAACAGCCAACAGTCCAGGACGGATTTCCTAAAACCTGATTCTGGCATAACAGATGGACCAAGGAGGACTTTCCTACACCTGCAAATGACAAGAAATGGAGGTGGGTGACTGGTAATGTTTGTGGAAATAACTTAAACTAATGCAGTGCCTGCACAGGCGTTTGTCTGGTAGATCACAGTAAATGCTTTCAGTCAGTTATGATCTTGATGTGATTCTTTGAAATGACTGCTGATTGCGAGACGTGGCTCTCTGCTACATGACGGACATGTCGAGACTCCATGTAAAAATCGACTCAGTGTAAATTAGTTTTCGTTTAGATAATCGCAAATCCATTTAACAACATCAGTAAGTATATTTAACTGGCTGTTGGGTGTCAGTCTTTAATTCGGCAAACAAGACTTTATATAATTTGGTATTTTAGTGTTAATTTGTTTTGTACTAAACAGCCTTCTTGAAGGCAGTAGCCCACAGCAGGGAGCAAAGTGACAGCGCTAACAGAAAAAAAAAACAGCAGCTATTGCTTTAAAATCATTTGCCACTTGCCGGTGTGCCTTTATCCTGAATTAATCAGTAACACTAAACATGACATATACATATACGTTGCGTGACGTTGACAGACCCACTGCACCAAACTGACAAGAGTTTCAGTTTCTTAAAAATAATGATTAAAACGGTGTACAGGAATAGTCCAGAATAAACAAATCTCATAACAAAAAAAAGAAGGGTTCGAAAGGTTTAGATTAAAATAAAAAATAGTCCGTAACTTACCGGAATCTCCTAAAACTAATACTTTCACCCTGTCAAGAGAAGCCATTTCTGGTGACAACACTGTCCCGGAAGAAAACAGTGAAGTTCCCGCCTGGAAATGTGCTATCTTTAATCTGATTGGTCTTCAGTTCGAAAAACATCATTGGCCAACTTGAACGTCAATCAAGTTTCTTCGCTCTTATTGGCTATTGGGCTAAAATTTTACAGCTCGGCCAATTGGATCGTGGAAATGACTGTCGTTGCGGATTCGGTTTTCTTTCCGGGGTTTTCTTCTCAAAATAAGGGGTGAAGCGTGTTAGCTAACCCCGAAAGCGTAAATATCCCGACGTGTGAATATGTCCAGCGAGTTTTAGCGGCGTTAGTGTGACACAAAGCGACGTCGCGCTGAAATGAGCGAGAGAAGCGGTTGATTCGCTCGTCGGTGGAACAGAGAGAGTCGGGTACGGTCGGTGTTAACCGGCTAACGGCAGCCTGCGAACCAACTTCATGTGGCTGCAAATGCAGTGAACTTAGTGGAACTTCTTCCAGCTTATGATAAACGTACCGTCATGTAATATGTTCACTGATATAGTGCCTTTAACTTTACTGTCTAACTAAAATACCATGAGCAGTAGCCACAGCTAGCTTGCTGCATTGTCTCTGTGATGTGTCTTTGTTCGAGTTAGCTAACTGATGCTAAGCTAAATGAAGTTGTCACTTTACATCAGGCAGCTTAGCTTGCAGTGGTGTCTGGTTGGACAACGTTAACCACTCCTTTGTGTATGGTAGCACGTAGCAAGTGGGAATTTGTTAATTTAAAAGTTATCCACCACTTTGCCATGATGACTGAGTAAATTGGTAAAGATCAAGCAAATGGAGGAGACACGTTATAGTTCATATTTAATCTTCTCTTCCTGCAGGTTTTCCTCAGTGCATAAATATAGTTCATTGTATCTTGAATTTCCCTAAATTCGACTCCTAAACTTAGTGATTGAGTTGATCTAACTACTGTTTTTACTGTGCTTCAGCCCTGTTCCCTGATGTCCTTGCTGCTGTCTCAGATCTTCTGCCCCTAAATACTGCCTTCCTGCCTTCTTAGCGCTCTCCTTTCCCTCCACAGACGAAGATGATCGAACCAGAGCTACTAACCGAGGTCCCGGCGGCGCTGAAGCGCTTGGCCAAGCAGGTGGTGAGGGGTTTTTACGGCGTGGAACATGCCTTGGCCCTGGATGTGCTCATCCGTAACCCATGCGTGCGTGAGGAGGACATGCTGGAGCTGCTCAAGTTTGACCGCAAACAGCTGCGATCGGTACTCAATACCCTGAAAGCAGACAAGTTTGTCAAGTGCCGCATGAGAGTGGAGACGGCCCCGGATGGCAAGACAACACGGCACAACTACTACTTCATCAACTACAGGTCTGAATGTTTTTGGTTTTCATGTAGCGGTGGAGACGATGAACACGCCAGCATTCAATCATCAGATTTTCATTTTTACAGGGTACTGGTCAATGTGGTCAAGTACAAACTGGATCACATGCGGCGGCGCATTGAGACAGATGAGCGAGACTCCACCAACCGTGCCTCCTTCCGGTGTCCCTGCTGCTTCTCCACCTTCACCGACCTGGAGGCCAACCAGCTTTTTGACCCCATGACAGGTAAACATTAAATAGTCTGCAGCTCTGAAGTACTTCAGTGTTGCTGCTTGACATTTGAAAGTATTTTGGATTTTTTGTGGGGTTTAGTATTTATAGTGTGACATTATGATTAGATCAACTTTACTCAAAGGAGTTGCAAGTTTTTTTTTTTCTGTCAAGATCATCTACACAGCAGAGCCTTTGATAATTTACGTTGAAAGCAAATTTAGTATTAACCTGTTACGCTACGTTGCTGCCTTACAAAGCTTCAGTCTTGAAAAATCTGTAGAGCGCTCTCGCAAAGATTGTAGGACATAAAATCCTGAATCTAATTGCTAGTCAGCTGGATATATGGTGCCTCGGAATAGCAGTTGAGTGGAGTCAGAATATGTTCACTAGGAAGAATTAGGCAGGTTGGAACAAATATAATCATGTGCCTCTTTGAAATGAAGGCTCTGGGCTTTGGGATATTATAATGATCATTTGTTGTCCACCTTGGTATAAGTATCGGTTGTTTGGAGGTTGCCTGTGTAACGGTGTGCCGGCTGGTTGACCTCTAGGTGGCAGTGAAGCCATACGCTCAAATAGATTCACTCATAACAGGTTGTTTTAGTGCATCGAGTCTCTAAAATGAAATAAACTACAGTGGTTATTAAAAAGATGGTCTCCATCAACACACTGTTTGATGAAACATTCCCACATTCATTCGCAGCTCGTTTTGTATTGATTTGTTTCTACAGTTGTGTTTTCTCTCGCTTCAAATAAATGAAAATACATTTAACTATGCCAACGAGCAATTTACAGTTCTCACGGCTGCTCAGATGACAGTGTGTTTCGACTGGGAGAACACTTGTCTGGTTCTGATCGTCTTGTTCCGTGTCGACTCACCCAGACCTCCCAGTTCATGTCATCAGCTTTATAACGTGCATGCATGAGAAAACAGTGAAGCACCTGCTGCTAGTTGATGTCAGAAATTAGCTGAGACAAGTTTGAAATTGCAAAATAATATATAGATATATTGAGACAGTGATAATTAAAATTTTCCTCCTGAATATTTATTATAATTTTAAAAATGTGGTGTTAAATAATGACTTTGCACTTTTCATTCTTTGGTTTGCCATTAGGACTTGTAAACTAATGAAATAGTGTGTCAGTACATATGCCAGAGCATTGTTGCATACAGCAGTTCAAGAGATGAGTTGTTTTAACAAAACCATACAAGAAAATGTCTATTTTCCAGAAAAATATTTTCGGCTTTCTCATCACAGAAGGTTTGAACAAATGGGCTGTGTGCTTTTGGTCTTCTCCGGCTGCCAAGGAATCTTTCAACCAAGCTGCAGGGTTACATATGTGCCATTTAAAAATACATAATAATAATAATAATGGACAGATTGAGATCTTGAGACATGCAGTGATGTTGACAGGTTGGCTGACTGCATTTCCACATTTAAAAAAATAATTTAAAAAAGCGTCGTTAAATCAAGGCCGTATTCATCCATCTCCTGCTTAGCGTCATCTTAACCTGCAGTATTGAATTGTCTTTGCTCCTTTCACTTTCCTCATCTCCTAGTTTTCCTGTTTGTTGTCTGCCTGTCCCTGTCACACTCAGATTCACACCCGGCTTTAAATATGGGCTGGCAGCTGTCCAAAACCGTGCTTCTAAATGGGCATCACTTCACTCACTCATCACCAAGAATCATCCAATGAGATCGCTAGTGTTTGACATGTGGGTAACGGACGCAACCACAAGTCTTATTTAGGCGTCGTTGCTGCTGAATCAAGTAAAGCTTTGGAAATGTGCACGGCTGCGTATCAGTCATTCACTAATTCAGTTGAGAAAATGGTGCTATGTCAGAGTATTCTAGTGAGAGCTTGTGATGAGGATTTTTTTGCCTTCATACTTGATGGAAAGCTCTTTCTCTAAACTGTGTTCATTCATAAATTGCGTTAACTTTCCTGTGTGAGACCGAGGCACCGCGCTCACATCGTCTGCCAACGTGAAGGCTGACCGCTGCTCATCCGGCGTTGTTGCTAGGATACACAGACAGGCTGTGCCACACAGGCATGTAAAACAACATGTCATTGACTTTTTAGCTTCTTTTTTAAAAATTCTAATCTGTTTTCTTTTGGATAAATAAATGTTGTAAAGGGTTAATTTCATCATGTAGTAATCTGTACAAGTCTTCTGTGGATAAGCAGTGGGTTACAGTTGGGCAGAAGAATTATGTTTTAGAGTTGTTCATCTGTCCACACGTTCTGCCTCGTCTTTGAGTGAATTTCTTCTTTTTTTCCCCCCTGAATTTTAGTTTTCTTTCTCTTTTGTGGGCTGGCTGACCTCATGTTACAGCATCTCAGATAATTATGATATGGTCGAAATGCTGAAAACAACAAAACAAACCACTGCTCCAGCTGCAGAGACAATTATAAATGTCATGTAATTTGCCAAAACTGCTCTGTGATAATCTGATAGCAGCAGCCTGTGTGGTGGGGCTATTTTACAGCATTAATTCATTTCAATTGTGTTAATTTAAATAATAATGTTTTAATATAATACAGTGCTGCATCCTAAAACACCGTTAGTAAGCCCCAAACGACGATAAAGTAAAATAAGTTTTAATGATGACACTCAACGGGGCTGTGATCTTAATTATGCATAATTTTAAGACTTATTACAATTTATACATTTGAATTATGTAAAAATTCACCTCCTGTAGTAAGAAACAGGACATTAGCTAGAGACCAAAACATGTTCATGTTCCAGGCTGCAGGTCGGTTTATTTCTGCTGTCAGGTTGGACATTTTCACACGGAGGTCTGTGGGGATTGACTTGCTTTTTGAGGAAATGCAGTTGTTTTTTGGCACTTTCACATTGGCTCAATTTTTCAGCCCCAGAGGTTGATGCTTGCATGAAAATAATTTCAGAATAAAGGGTGAACGATCACTCCACAGGGGATTAATGCTTCTTATAGGCCGTATAATGTCATGCTGGAAATAATCCTCCTGCTTCGGAGCTGTCAGCATCTTCACGGTGACACATCTACAAACATCTTGCCAATTCCTTTTGCGTTCGTCTCTTGTTTCAACGTATCTGAACCGGCATCAGCACTTGCTGTGAAGGCAGTAACCCTGCACCCGGACGGAGGCGAACACAATGAATCCCTGAAGTTCACGTGATAGTCTGATGGACCGGCTGCTTTTGCGGGGGCCAGCAACACTCAGCGCGGCCTCGTGGGAATGGGAAGTGACATTGCTGGTTCTTCCAGCTCATTGTGACCCTAAAAGGAGAAGCAAACACCCTCTGAGTTCTACTATGTGGATGTTGTAAGACAGAGATTTTTACCCATTTTCTTAGTCGTGTTGGTCCCTCACCTTTTGAAAGCTGTGTTTTGTTGCTCTTTACAAAACCTCATTTTCTTTTACAGTCAGTCAGTCGCTCCCCTCCAAGGGTTGTTTTTGATTTGTGGGAAGGTCGATGTGTTTCAGGTCAAACCAAACCTGACTACAGGAGCGTTTGCTCTGTGTCATTACAGAGGAGGAGACTTAACGCTTCACCATCACTGAGGGGAGAAGGAATCATATTTGCATTCTTGATCTATTAGACTAAACAGGTGGAACAGTTTGCAGTGATTAAAGCTTCAACTATGCCCCTAATGAGTTATTTTATTTAACTGCAGGAAACCTGATTCTTCTGCTTAATAATTCTGATTAATGCCTCATTTTTCCCAACTTAGGTTCATTTTCCAACAAAAGGCACATTAATGTGCAAATAATATTATCGTATTTCTATTTTAAAATTCAAGGCGTGCACTCTTTGGGCTGTTTACCACAAGCACCGGATAGGTACAGCTCACGTTCCTTTGATTTAAGCCAATCCTGAGGAGTCATTCTTGTTTTCAGATACTGTTCACTTTATCTGTGATCATCATATCTAGCAGCGTCTGCGGTATGCAGCTTTTTCCCTTGTTTTCTCTCCTGCTCACACTCGCTCTCTCCCCCCACACACTTTATTTTCTCTCTGCCGTACACATAGACAGAAAGCAGACATGGGGTCTGTGCTAATGCTGGAACAGCGCCCATTATTGAAACTGAAATCAGCCAGAGAAGCAGATGGTCGAACGTGCCCTTCTCTTACTGGTAGGAATCAGGGGGTGTGTGTGTGTGTGTGTGTGTGTGTGTGTGTGTGTGCAGTGCACACAGTTTCCCAAAGCGAATGTAGTGCAGCGTTTATAAAATTAGCCCCAGAAAAAGATCATCACGGTGGAATAAACTTACCTGTGAGTAGACGGCCTGCTGCGTGAGTCCCTTTGTATCAACACAACAACAACAACGAGACAAAGGTTCCCAACGGTCCGGTTCTGTCGGGTCTGCATTTCTTTATAGTTAAGTACACATACACTGCAGTGTAAGTCAGCACTTAGCAGTTCTTCAGACTTAAAGAGTCTCAACAAAATGTCGAGAATGTCTTTGATTTGAGCGAGTAATGCACCTGGAGGTCAGTACTGAATGCAGCTTATTGTTTGGCCTGTGTACAGTGTGTGTGTGTTTTAGGAACTACTGTGAGGGAGTTTAAATCACCTGATCACAAGGTGTCCTATATACGTGCAGGGACTGACGAGCTGTACAGTTTTTGTTGTTTTTGGTAAAATGGAAAAAGGAACAGAGTTTTCTAAGGATCAGTTACACCAAAAGCACAGTAACAGGTTTACCACAGTCCCAGCTACTTTTTTCTGTCTGTGGTTTTTGAGGATATGGCCTGAGTTCATTCTTCACCCGCAGGAACGTTTCGCTGCACCTTCTGCCAGACGGAGGTAGAAGAAGACGAGTCCGTCTGTCCTGACGCCAGGACGCTGGTGGCCCGCTTCAATGAGCAGATCGAGCCCATCTATGCTCTGCTACGTGAGACCGAAGACGTGAACTTGTCCCATGACCTGCTGGAGCCCGAGCCTGCCGAGATCCCTGCTCTCAAACAGAGGTCAGGTTCTAACTGGTCTCACAGCAATGCACCACTTATCACCTCAGTCAGCACCGCGCTGGTTTTCCTGAGCCACATCCTGAGCCAGCTCCTCTGACGACAAGCAGGAGTTCACTCCTGTTAACAGCAATAATCGCAGCTGTGATTCAGGCTCGACTTGACAACAGTTTGTGCCGCAGTGGATTGTATTCTGTCCAGCCCAGGCTGTGAACTACGGGGGAGCCGGGCTGAACCGGGCTGAGCTGGGCTCCTCTTAGTAACACACGAGCTCGCCTGAAAAACTTCCCTCTAAAATATTAACAGTACACAGTGTTTTCCATGCCTTTCTTTTTCTCCTTATCTTAATCATCAAGGATCATGCATAAAAATAGACCATTATTGATGTATGATTCATGCATGAGGGTGAATCATAACTAATTCATTTTCATAAAGATATTTGCATGTGTTCTATTCTTGCTCTCGCCGTCGAAGCGTGGCCGTGCAGCACCATAAACCTGACTCGCTCTACCTTTTAAGATGAAGAAAGCAAACTTCTAGATGCCACAGAACAAAGCCAACCTTCTGTGTTGCAGGCAGCAGCTGCTCCTTTTTATCTGTGTTGTCGTTCTTATCATTTATACTCTTGTTAATGGCAATAATGGTAAATAACATTCACATCATTTGCTTTACAAAAGTTATATCTGTTGCTCTGAGCTACCCCCAGAAGCTACGGTTTAGGCAGCAGTTCACCAACATGTACGGCTTCATTACACAACATCCCCGTAGTTCTTTGTTTGTTCTTTAAAACTTTAATCAGTTCAGCTGTTGAGGATCATTTTTAAAGGATGTTTCCTGAATCCTTCCTCTAGCCGTGAACGTGCCGCAGCATCTGCAGGAAACGCAGCGAGCGGTCCGCACCGGGAAGCCTGGTCTAACAAAGGATCATCCTACGCCGACCTGTACACCCAGAATGTGGTTATCAATATGGAGGAGCAGGATGAGCAGCAGAAGCAGGCCAGTGAGGGCAAGGCACCCAAGGAGAGGCCGGTGTGGTTGACCCACAGCACCGTGCAGGGCGCTTACAGCGAGTCCGACATCCTGAAGAACCGTAAGTGAACTGTTTGTTGACTTCCTTTAGCATCATTACAGCGTATATGTTTTCATTTGTAGAACAATTAGACCATCCACCACCATCTCGTCCACCGTGGGCTTCACCGTGTTCTTGCAGCAGGCCGTACATCCCCTCCAGTAATACCTTAAATGACTTCAACACTTTTCTGTGTGAACAAAGTACATGCTTTAGTGTTCTTTAACCCCTGTTCTAACTCACAGAGGCAATGTTTATTTGTGCTTCTGCTTTTAAATCCCTTTCAAACATACCTTCTCCTCCTCGTTTGTTTGTGCCCTTTTGTTCATTCTGTGGTTTGGGGATGTTTTGATCTGAGATGTGCTGCTGCAGGGAGAGAATTTACTCACAGGTCTGACTTCGCCTGTGACACACATGCACACACAGAGCGAAGCCTTTTACATGTATATGCTTAGAATTAAGTTATTTATTCTTATCATACACTTCCCACATTGATGCTTTGACAAAATGAACAGAAGTCACAGAATAAACCTCGACTCAATACAAATAAATAGGATGCACAAGTAAATGAACGCTCTTCAGTACAATATAAATTTAGCAGCTCCTCTTAGAGATAAATTAATGTAAAACCCAAAGTGCTTCCACATTTTTATTTTATTTTTTACATTCTGTGCATATTCTCTGCCGTAATCTCAACACCTCTCACTCTGAGTTACATCTGACGTTAAATCCTCTCCGTTCTCAGCTGCAGCTTTCAGTCATCAATCATAGATGCTGCTGCTGCTGCTTGTCCGTAGTGGGCCGAGCTGAACACACTGGGTTTCCCTGAAAACACTAATGATGAGGATGAGATGGACGGGAAGGAAAAAAAAAAGCCCAATCCAGACTCCACGCCTTCGGCTGCTGGTCTCTGACATTTAATTTCCATCCCTGATCTCTCTGTAGCCAAAACAGGCTATTACAAGTCAATCCAGGTTATCTCCGTCCGTCAGAGTGGCCCTTCATCTTCTTCTGACATTGTTTCCCCTCCCAAGGGCATATGGCTATCAGACCGGGCCAGGCTCCGTTGAACAATAATTGCTTAATTGAAATAATTATAGTCTTGATTAGTATATGGCCGTGCAAGGATTGCTCATTAATAAAATCCGCTCTCGTGGAAATTGCATGAATTATACCTTCTGAACGTTCTGCTTCTGAGGTGTGCAGCTGTCTGCAGTGACCTTGCTTCACTTCAGAGCTGATTGGCACAATAAGCAGGGATGTGCTTCTTATTTATTTTGCCACATTTCAGATCAGAGTGTCAACACAGAACCTGATCCAGTACTTCAGTGTTGAATAAACATCCATCACGCAGTAAAACAACCATATTCCTAATAAGCCCCAAATACAGACGGTCCTCTGACGTGGATAAGGGATGAGCAGGGTAAATACGACCCCTGAGGTTGTTTTGATGCAGTCGGAGAGAAGACACTTAATGTGCTGGAGCGATTAGAGCTACAGAAACACCCACAGTCCACAGACACTGAGCTGCAGGTGGCACACAAACACAACCACAGGCAGAGGTTGGTACTGGCCTGCCATCAAGCTCATTGTGGAATCAACAATAACTACTAATTACCTGATAACATTTGCTGCGGTCTGGCTCTGACTGGTGAAGCTGAGGTTTCTGTACGCTGCTCCTTACTGCTGGTTAGGACGTAGCGTGGAGCAGTTTATATGATTCAGACCAGCATGAGGAGCTTCAGGTGGCGCAATAAAGAAGTGGAAGAGAGAAAATTAAAATGGGAGAAAAATACCTATTGGTGTGAGCTATAAAGCTGGAGCCGGGTCAGCCGTGGTCCATCAGCCTCCACCGACCGGCTCACATCACCCACCGGCTCGCATCACCCACTCCCTCATCACCCACTCCCTCATCACCCACTCCCCCATCACCCACTCCCACCCCTCACGGCGGCGCTGACGTCAGCGGGCATCGTGCCAGGATTGTTTAAATTAAAACCCGTCAACCAGACTGGTTTGCTCACATAAAAACAATGCATTAGTTTTCTGGATGGGTAACAGTTTTGTTTAATCTGTTCTCTGCTGTTTTCTTTGAGTTTAATGACAGATTTAACATTTGTTTGAGTTCTTCTAGATCGATGAATAGTTTCCACTTCTGCTGTTGAATGTTCTTTTTGAAAGCTTGTGAGGAATAATACTTGGCAGGTTTGTAATTATTTTTCCAGGTTTTTGTGTTGCACCTGGACGTCCCCTCGGCCGCAGTCTAATCATCTGCATGGCATCGTTTTGCCAAATCATTTTGGAAACTCTGAGTTCCTCCCCAGTATGAATACTCTAATGTTCACTGTTGTGATGCTCCACTGTAGAAGTGCCAGTCCATCAGAAAGGACAGCAAAGCTGCAGATCCAGCAGGTTTAGGGGAACAAAACAGCAGAGTTCAGTCAGGACAGGATCTGATTTTGCTCTGTTGTGTTTTAGCTGATACTGATCTGTTAAATATGACCGTAGGCACCGTTAGTGATACTTGGCCCTAACAAAGAGCAACGGTTGAGCTCGGACACATCTATCACACCACATCATAAGACAAGCACAGTGTCACACAAATATGTTTAAACATGTTGAAAAGCAACCTGAACCTTAAGTTCCAGCAGAATTAAATATTTCAGTGATTTTATTTCTCATATTTAATGTGTTGTTGTTTCCACAGGTGGTGACGTCGCACCCGGAGCGCAGGACGGAGCGGCTGGTCACGGAATTGGTCAGGCGGATGAGAATGAGGAAGTGATGCGCGCTCTGCTCATCCATGAGAAGAGGGCTGTTGCAGGACCAGGCGTAGGTGGAGCGAGCTCTGCTGCCAGAAGCCTCACCTCCGCCACGGCCAACGCCAGCGACTCGGAGAGCGACACCAGCGAATCGGATGATGAATCTCCCTCGGGCCCCCCTCCCGCCACCGCTGCCCCGCACCGGGCCGAAGAAGACGAGGAGGAAGAGGACGACGACGAGTTTGAGGAGGTGGGGGATGAGCCGATGGTGACGGTGGGAGGTCGGTCGTTCTCCTACAGAGAGGTGAGCCAGAGGCCGGAGCTGGTGGAGCAGATGTCTGCACAGGAGAAGGAGGCTTACATTGAAATGGGACAAAACCTCTTCCAAGACATGTACTTCTGAACACACATCATAAAGCTGTATATACGGACATCTACACACATACAATGATTCAGACTGATGGTTATGTCTGCTGTCTCCGGCTGTCAGCGGTGATATCTGGGAAATGTTTGTGCACAAGAAGAAAACAAGATGCTGCTCAAGAAGTACAGTCCGGCTTCACGATCCTTTATCTTAGGAGTCGAGGACGTGCTTTGACAGTGTTGCCCAAGTGATCACACTTGTAGTATTCAGTCCTAAGTATTCCTGAACGTCACCAAACCAGAAGGGAGCCGGCCTGCTGCAGAGTGCCAACTCCTTCCTTTATTTTGTCTCTTTCTATTTCCTTTCAGCTGTAAGTTTTAACAGGTTCTTCACTCGTCAGTCTCTCATGCTGCAGACAGAAGGGATGCGCTTCCGCTTTAATCAATACAGCTTTCTACACGTCGGGACCTTGTGCTTGATGTCAATTTTCAAGAATGGCCATTGATTGTGTATTGGGCTGTTAGAACTGCCAAGAGGTGTCTAAGTGCAGAGCAGTATTAGCGCTGCTGCCGGTTCCTCTGCGCCGCCTGTAGAGACACGATGAAAGGAAGAACGTCTTCTGTTACTGAACAAGTTAACAGACTGCCGCTAAAAGCCCGTCTCAGGCAAGACGGGAAGAACATACGGGCCAACTGTTGTGCTTACCAGTCAGACGTTTGTTATTTTGAGCAATCTGTAATAAAAAGATCCTGCAGTACAGCCGTGTGCATGAACGTGTGTGAACATCAAGTGAAGCTGTGGTCAGATTACAGTGTTACGACAAATGAAACCCGTTGAGTCACAAGCAACGCAGGTACAGGTGTGGGGACCAGGACTGACTCTAGGGGGTCTGCCTTTTACATTTTATCCCAGAAGGATAGAAAATAAAATGTCAGTGTTAAGATGAGAAGAATTTGTTATATATTTAGCCTTCTACTTCAAAAAACCTCTTTTGTAAAAGTGGCGAAAATAAAATTTTAAAAAGCAGCAGTACTAATTGCTTCACTTAAGATTAAGATCCATAATGTTCTGGGTTCTCATGACATAATTCTGGACAGGTTTATGTACAAAACCTTGAATCCAAGAAAAACCAGACAACAGGGAAAACTGAAGGGCTTTGAGACAACAGAGCTTGTATTTCATCCCGAGCCGCTGTGTGGTCACAGCCTCCCAGTGAGACCTTTCCTGTCCGGTCAGGTCACGTCCAGGTGACATTATTTATTGAGGCATCCCCTACCAGGCAAATGCACACCCAGTCCTCCTCCAGTGGTGTTCCAGCACAAAGGAAGGTGTTTTGTTAGGTGTTTTTTTTTTTTTTTTTTCTCCTCTCTCTAAATAATGACTGCTTTGATGTAACCACAGCAACCTACAGCACTGGGTCACCTCCTCATAACAGGACAAACGTCACCTGAAAGCCAAAGTCTGAATACGAACGTTGGCCTGGCATTTACAGGAATCAGGTCTTTTCATATAACACGTTAAATGTTACGCCTGCTGTGGTGAAGCCTCCCGGTCTCTGCTTTCTGTTTTTAGTCATTTTACAGGATTTTCTTTCTACAACTACAAATATCTAGAATGTGATTTATATATATGTAGTTTTGTACCTTTAGGTAGTAGATTTTAAGGCATACAAGTGTCTGTGGTACATTCAGTGAAGCTCTGAAAGCTGAGGAAAGAGCACCAGTGGATTCCTACATGTTTGCCTTTAATACTGTGAAATATTGCACATCCATCCTTTACATCGCAGCCACCCAAAGACTCTCCGCTATCGACTACATGATGCAACCCAGAGGCTGCATGATGAAAATTGCATTTGAAGCTTTCACCCTCGGTGTGGGTGGTATTGTGGGAAGGTCTCTAGGAAGGAGCAGAAGGGTTCATCCCTGTGGGAGCACGAGCGCACAAGTCAGGTTTTCATACATCACATTTAAAACGACCACAGCTGACCAAGGACCAAGGAAAACAGTAAAAACAAAGAACTACCTGCTCGTTAGTGGCCTGACCCTTTGTAAATATAAAAACAGGGAGGCAGGTGTTCAACATGTTCTGTACATCAAGTATAAATGTGTGACATTTCATTTTATCCGTCTATTAATGGACAGAACTGTGTCGTGTCTCACTAGTGCACCATTATCTCCCATCAAGTCGGCGTCAGTGCTTAGTTTTCAGGGGATGAAACAGATGAGCGGTGCTGTGGACCACCGGTTCTTAAGATGCGGTCCGTGAAATAATTGATAAAACTGCAATGACTCATAAAAGTGACATTAAACAACATGATGCCAGCAGCTCAGTCGTTTCTAGCGAGATGATGGAAGAAATCTTAAACCCACGATCGTCGGGCGACACAAAACCTAAATCAGCCAAACTAAGTGAACATAATGAAAGCTATATTGAATTTGGCTTTAGTCGCAGCAGCGCGGGAGACCACAGCGTGTCATCTGTCTTCAGTGGCTAACAAACAAAGCCGTGATGCCAGCCAGGCTACAGCGCCATCTGACAACACCCGGAGCATGCGAGGACTGTCTGGTGGACATATTCAACAGCCTCAATCTGTCCATCCAACAAGGTTACGCATCCAGCCGGGGAGCCGCGGACACGTTTCCCGGCTGAACAACCTGTCTATGGACGTGGTGAAAGAAGCAGCTGCCCCTCATCTCACTGCACTGAACCAGCAGCTCAGTTCCTCGGGTTTGAACACAGATGTTGGGGGCTGGACGGGTGACCTGCTTGGCCCGGCTGCAACAGCTTCAGGTAGCCTCAGTGCCGAGGCAAAAAGAGCAGCTGCAGCAGGTGTGCAAGTTTTCACAAGAGTGTCGCGATGTTAGGACCCAGCTGTCTGGGGTCAGCTGGGTGTAGCAAGAAAAAAAAGCAGATGTTGATGGTTGAGGGAAAGGAATTTATCCTTTAGTGATGGATTAACAAAGCAAAGGTGGTAATAAAAAGAAAACAGGGCTGGTGGATGTTAAGAACCAAATGAAACCAAACAGAGGCTACAGAGATGGAAAAGCTCAACAGAAACAAAACAGCTGAACTCCCAAAACTAAACACATAACAACACCCACATCTAAAAAACTAGCAAACGAGAGCAGAGTGCACAGAAACAACCAAACAAACTCCAAACCGAGTCACGCATCAGGAGTTACAGAGAACACAAAGACACGAGAGGCACCGACACGCCCTCCCAGCCGCTAGATTTATGCTCCAGGTGTGTTGATGGCTGCACTTTGATTGGATGAAGGTGGAGGGAACTGGGTGGCGGTCCAATCAGAGCAGAGAACAGGGGCTGGAGTGCAGGCTTGGAGCTCCAGGCTAATCAGCTGCGATGACTGGCAGCTGGGGGCCGGAGAGAGCTACACAGCCGGCTGCAACGGAGGTTATACAAGTCTGCTACCCACACAGAGGCCACGAGGGATCCACCAGAACACAGGAAGGCACACAAACACCAGCGGCTGTTTATGAACTTATTTCCTGAACTCACTTCTGAGGTCAGGAAAAGTCTTTGCACGCATGCTGTATGTGGAAAACGACACTGGACTGACAGACCTGCACACGCATCGCTATGCTGAGGTAAGCTACTGTCACTGCAAATGGATGTTTAGTTTGAAGGCTGTTGGTTAAAATGCAAAATCACTGAGCAGAGCACATGCACCTCATTATCAGTCTGCTACACGGGGAATAAGGTCTGGCTTGTTTGTCTTTCTTTTATCCAATCGCCAGTCATCTTGGATGGTGCTAAGCCCAGGATGTAGCAACAGTGTCCCTGCTAAGTAAGCTGTCATTGGAACGGCTAATTAATGAGAAAGAACAAACAGAGCTGCCTTATTGCTTGAGCCAAATCTTAGCTAACTGCATATATCACTGCTTGGAGGTTATTGTTTCCCAACGCAAAGAGGATTTCAGATAGTTGAAAGAGGGAGGAAGCCGTGTGAACAGCGCAGCAGAAATGACAGACTGGGATCGTAGATGCACTCAGTCAGAGCATCTATCTTGGGAGTTGGTAAAGACCGCCATAGAGGGAAAAAAGTAAATATTGTAATTAACATTTGTCTGTTTGCCTGAAACATTGATTGCGAATGAAGGCTGTGCTGATCCATATTTACTGTGTAAGCAGTGTGTAATGTGTAATTAGGGAGTTGTTTTCCAACAAGTGAACCATAACTCTATTGTCTGTACTGGAGGCCAGAGATTAATTAAAAGCAGCTTTAAGGAGATTGCGACTGTTGGAACACCTGATGCCTCAGTTTCCCTTTCTCTCCGTCTCGCTGTCTCTCCCTCCAGCTCTTCCTCCTCCTTCTCTCTGATAATCTGCATCTTTGGTCAGCTTTATATCTTTTTTTATAATCTTTGTGCATCACGTTGCCGACTTCATTGTGTACAAACTAAAAATATTCCCAATTCTAGCACCTTTTTTTGTTAAACGCGTACAGAGACACGTCGTCACACACCTTAGCATCCAGCTACAACAACAGTAATGTTATGGTGGAGTCTTTAGTTTGCTTGTTTTTGTTCCCAGAATGATGTTGTTAAAGGTTCTCTAAATACATTCTGACAATGTTTGGTGATAACATTGTTAGAACAATATGCAGTAACATTATTAAACCATTTTCAGTGGGAGGTTTTCTCTTTTTTGTTCCAAAAATGTTATTATAAAGTAAGATAATGTTCTTTAAATACATTAGAAGTGTCTCTTGTGATAAAGTTGTTAAAATCTTTTCCATCACACTTTTAAAACTTTGGGTTTTTTCTTTGTTTTGTTTCCAGATTTTTTAGGGGAAAAAAATCTGAAATTATTTGGTAACAACTTTCTTAAAATTCGTATACGTTGAGAATCTTCTTTCTTTATCGTCGTGTCGTGTTGTGCAAATGTTATACCAAAGAACTTTCGATGTTCTGTTACCTCAACATCCTCAGAACGTTACAGGCAAAACGTCGTCCCTTCTTTAACACATTACATTCTGTCATCTCAGGTATCCTCAAAGCGTTTTTCAAACGTTGCAATGAGAACATTCTTTGTTTGTTAGAATGCATTCTGTGGCCTTGACAACGTTCTCATAACATCTTCTGAATGTTGCAGCTTACATCTTAGTCGACATTTCTTTCAACATGTTTTTCATTAGAACATTATTGGAACTTTTAATGAATGTTAGACGAGTTGTCAGATCGTTCTGCGGTGAGATGTTTGATAGGAAGACGTCTCCAAACTACATGACAACAACTTGACTACAAACACACACAGAATGAACAACCTGTTCAGTTTACAGGAGGATAGCTCAAGTAATGGGTACATCACATCCTGTGTAACAACGGAAAAAAAATAAAATCCTACTGGACATATTATGTTCAGGTGAAAATGTCAAGCTCTGCAGAGGAGCTTAGCGAGGTCTGACATCTCTGGGGTAACCGTACAAGCCCATACATCCCTTTTAAGTTAGAGGATGGACACCTGTAGGGCAGAGCCTCAAAGGTCAGGATAAAAACGGGACTGGCCTCATTAAAACATCCCCCACCCTTCAGGACAGCTCAATTAAAAACCTAACCTCATGCTGTTCCATTGATCTACCAAGGCAAGTCTGAGTGTGGGTCACAGGGAGGGCGAAGAGAGCTCTGTAGGGAATCCACCAAGCTGCAAAAAATCAGGAGACCTTGATGATCAGGTACGATGCAGCGAGAGGTAGCAGCAGATCGTTTTGTTTTAATGAGTCGGACCGCCGATGCTGGAGTTTGAGAAGCTCCTCGTCTCTGCCCTGAACACATCTCTTTTGTTCAGGTTTTCTTCCTCAGTTTATCAGTTCACAGGTTTTCACACATAGCTGAGAGCTCGCGTGTTCGTGAAAGAAAGAGGCTGATTTAATAGAGAGGCAATTAAGGTTTGACATTAAGGGTTAAGGACAGGATCTGGGAGGGTGTGTTGTGTACAGCGTGCACCGCAGACTCACAAAGGCAGGTTGTAATGAGTGATGCTTCATGAGGTTTGCCTGAGAAGATTACATAAGGATTGATTGATTGCAGGTGTCTGTCAGTCTTCATCCAAAGATTAGCGACTTAATGATCGACCGTTTGTCTGTCATTCAGCCTGCAACGCTCTTTGATCACCTCCTCGGAGCTCCTCACAAGCTCAGACTGTTTAATCTATCCATGCATCACTGTGTGTGCTGGAAGGAGTGGGCAAACAATGACAGATTTAATGGCTGGTTTTAATCTGCACGCTGAACTTTGTCTACAGCATCGATTCCTGGAGAGCACTCTATTAGGACGGTTACTGTTGCAGGAAGCACTGGAGCTCGTGTGCAGTGCTGCATGGTGAACAGGTGTTAGTGCAGCGTTTACAGTTTCCCAGTGAGGCTCTCCGTTGATTCATAGAAGCAAGTCCCTGTTAACTCTACATGCATGAGGGAGGAGGCGTGACTGTCTGCAATTCAGCAACGCTGACTCGGTGTTTCCTCTGCATTCATTTAGCAGCGGCGGCCCGCCATTCCTAAATCCTAAAGCCGCCGCGCCTTCAAATTTTTTATTTATTTATTTTTTATTGTCGCAAATACACCACCGCCGCATGTCTCCACCTTCACAGCAGAGTCCTGCACTGGGTCGGTACTCGGAGTACCAGGGTAAATGACAGATAAGTGTCTTGCTCAGTTTCTAGTCACTGGGAGTTCATACGACGTTAACTAGTCACGAGGGTGACGTCACGTCCAGCACCAGGCTCCAGGAAAGGTAGACTTATTAGCTGCAGGTAACTCAGAATAGATTTTACAAGTTAAATAGACATTCGCAAAAGTATTGATGGCCAGCTGACGTTACACAACGTATCGGTAGCTTAAGTGCCAACTCGGTGTCGCTAACGTGAGTAAACTAACTGATAGTTGCTCCTATAACTCATCTATGAAGTAAATCTTTTGGCTAACGAGCCTCTCAGACCACCTTCCCACATTAATAACTCATACAGTATGGCTTATGGAGCAACTGTTCATCCTGCCTTTTCCTGCCTGTAGAACCCAAACATGTCATCAGATCTGGTGTATTGTCTTCATTTGTCTTCCTACACGGCTCTAAAAATGGCCTAAAAAATCAGTTGTAAAAAAAAAAAAAGACATCCTCTGTTCCAGTCCCTCATTTGAAGAGTCTGATCGCTGAAGCACTCAGAAGTGTTTTCTGATCATTTCTGAGGTGTTGGACCAGGTTTCTGTCGTGACCATGAACATCAGCATGATGGCAGTTTATCAATACATTTTTAAAATGTGCTCGATTTTCACATTTCATGAATTGTGCCCATTTCATGCCCCTCATGTGGGCAGTTCATCATCATTCTCATGTTTCTACCATGTGTTCTAATAGATCTGAAGATGATCTGACCCACATGTGGTTCTGTTGCTGAGCCTCCTTTAGGACCTGTGATTGTTTTTACGTGTACATCTGGTGTTTACTGAAGATGATAACGGTGCCACAGATACACAACATCTGATCAGATTAAATCAACAGGTTACAGTCATTCATTTTTCAAACAAGTCTTAAAAATTCGAGTCCAACTCGGCGTCTACCAGGAGACTTCAGAACCCCTCAGGCCTCCATCTGCTGCCAGGTCTTATGGATGTGCTGATGTTCTACCTGAGCACCTGCACACAGAACCACAACTACGACCAGACGGTTTGCTGATCATGATGTCAGTCTGCCTGAGCGGCCGGCCAATCCACCTGAAGCCCGTAGAAGCCTGTATGTTAGGAGGCAGATGAGAAACAACTGACCCAAACAGAGACGAGCTGAAGGCCCGTTAAAGCAACCCGGGCTTCAGAACCACCTCAGCAGCACCACAAGAAGGTCGCCTCCATGTCAGGCCACACTGATGCAGTCATTTATCCTAAAAGTGCCCCAACCAAGAACTAAGTGTTCAAAATGAGCTTTGTTCTCAAAAGCTGAACATTTCTTTATTGCAAGTCCTCTTTCTGACTGATCTCAGGGGAAGTCTAATAACATGAGAGACTGGAGTTCTGATTTTTATGAGCTGTAATTATAGAAAAAAAAAACATTTTAAAAAGCCTTGAAATATTTCACTTTACATGTAACTGACACATGCAGCTCTGAACACTTCACAAGTCTTTCTGGTCGTTTCCAAAATGCTGCTGCAGCTACATTTTTGCACACCTGGACTTCTTTCACTGTATTCATATTTTGTTTTTGTATTCTTTGATATCTTTTTTTTTCATTTTATATTTGTATATAAATATAAATGCGTATTTGTTCTTTTTTGTACACTGTGGGACTCTGTGTATCAAGAGAAAGATGAGAAACAACTGACTCAGAAATGAAATTTAAATGTCTCTATGAGCTCCACATGTGGACACACTGGCAGTATCGTTCACTTTGACTTTAATGTAGAAAATACCAAAGATTAACTTTTTTCACAATGCTGTAATTTTCTGAGATGCAGTATATTCAGAAGTAATAACAATAATAATAATAATAATAATAAACTTTATTTATATAGCACTTTTCAAAACAGGGTTACACAGTGCTGTACACATTCCAAGAGAAGTGTAAGGAAGTAAACACTGTTCCGTTGCTAGGCAACAGCAGGACTCTCAGAGGTCTGCGACATCATCGTGATGTCATCAGCCGTCAAAGGCCATGAAGTTGATGACAACATTGTGATGTCATCAGCTGTCAAAGGACATAAAGTTGATGACATCATCGTGATGTCATCAGTCACTATATATCCAGCTGATATTTGGACATTTGGCACAAACTTTTGATCTGCTGAAGAGACAGTTATTGCTGCATTTTCACCGCACTCGAGTGAGACTACAGACCAAAGTCTACCACGAGCAGCTACCAACCTCTACACCAACGACCATCTCCGAGAGACACACCAGGAACAGCAGTGCAAAGTTGTGTAGAGCGTTTCTATTTGAACAATGGCCTACAGAGGGAACCAAAACCGCCAGGCTGGTCCACGCCACTACCCCAACCAGCTCATACAGCTTCAGAGGGCACTGGAGGCATCTCAGGTAGATAACCACCACCTGATGGAGCAGACGATGGAGCTGGAGCAGCACAACGAGCAGCTTGTGAGGGAAAACAAGTGGCTCCATGAGAGACTGGACCAGAGCAACACTCTTGTTGCTATAAAGGAAACCCTTGTAGCAAACAGAGAAGATTTGCTCAGGGAGTTCAAAAAAATGCTGGAGGCAGAGAGGCAGAGGTTCGCCAGAACCATCAAGGCCAAGGATAAAGAGCTGAACCTGCTGAGGGAGCAGTTCAGCGTTATGGAGAAGGACATCCAGCGTCTGACTCCAGAAAAAGAGAACACTGGAGTCCTGCAGGAAAACAAGACAGACTCTCAGACAGACTTGGTTCTCCAAGAGGACCAAGTCCTGCAGGAGGAAGTCAGACCGGAGTCAGACTTAGTGAGCCACGAACCGGACCAAGTCCTGCAGGAGGAAGTCAGGCCGGAGGCAGACTTCAACTTGGTGAGCCACGAACAGGACCAAGGACTGCAGGAGGAGCCAGAGTCAGACGTGGACTTGGTGGACCATAACTCTGAGCAAGAGAAAGAGACACCTGTGGAGGGGGAGGAAGAAGAGCTCCCCGAGAGGAAGAAGAAGAAAAAGAGCTTCTTCAGCAGATTCCGAAAAAACAAGGAAAAGAAAGAAAAGACCAAGGTGGAGAAGACAGCAAAAGACAAGGAGGCAGGGAAAGAAAAGACAAAGAAAAAGGGCTGCTGGAGCTGGTTGTTCTAAATATGAGCAACCATGC